TAGATCCACTCTTCTAGAGCATGACTCTCACGTAAAGTTGCAAACTTTACGTGAAAACAAAGAGCTATAGGCCCAAATCAATCTAGGGCTAAGGTTTAAGACAAAGGATGCTTCACCAACAAACCAAGGGCTGATACTTTGTGAGTTTCTGGACCAAGACAAGTCTAGATCTGAAGTAGCAACCTCAGATCTAGACCCCTAACCCGAAATAGATAATTAACATGCCAAAATGGCCCCAAATCTCATTCTTGAATAGATATAAATGCAATAGAGTCAAGGTAACAACTTGTTACTTCCAAAATGTGCCCAAGCTGAAGTAGATTCAGGATCTACACCAATCCCTTGATGCTAGCCTCTTGATCTTCAAGCTCCCTTCTCAATATTCCTCCTCCAAAGCTCAAATCTCTTTAACAATGGAGGCTCACATGATTTTAGGGTTTACTGACTCTCAAGAGCAATAAGGGGGCTGAAGGGAGGACATATGGTTCTTTAAATAGGGTGCAACCCTTAAGATTAGGGTTTTCTCTTTTCAGCACCAACTCGACGAGTCCAGCTGCCGACTCGGCGAGTTGGTCACTTAACTCGCGACCATAACCCGCTTCGACTCGATGAGTAAGCATACCTACTCGTCGAGTACCTTCTTCAATTTACACTTAAGTCCTTCAATCATACTTCTAAATTTTGGGATGTTACATTTAACTTGTTGTAAGTCGATATGTGTTCATACTTAACAAGGTCGTCCATGTTGTTTCTTATAAGAAATTGACTGCATAAGTCGGCAAATAAAGTTATAAATACTAACAAAACTAACACATGAACAATGTTTTTATTTGTTTTTTTAATAAAATCATAACTTTATTTTTATATTTTTGGCATTTTTATTGGTTGTGTTTTCTTAAATCATCGAATAAAGAAATTTAGGTTTGATCCTTCCTCTTCTAAGTTCTTATTTTCTTAAAATTATTTGTTTATCAAGCTAAGGCTCTATATATTTCAAGTTTTCGTCTTATAGTTTGATTTATCTTGCTTTTACCCTTTTTAAGTTTCTAAATATTACAAACTAGAAATTGCTCTTCCCTGCTTCATGGGGACGTAGACCTGAAATCTACTTATGTCCAGCTTTGCAAATGACATAATCTATAATTTTTCCATTAGATAAGGATCATTTTCTAAGTTTTTAAACACATGTACCAAAGAATATACTATTTAAACACATGAAACATTTTGTAAAAAAAAAATGCATAGGGACATTTTTGTAAATTACAAAGAGAGCTTTTGTAATTTATTTTATATAAAGATCAAACATATCAACAAACGAAAGTATTGTGGCCAAAGTCGAAAACCCAAACGTAAAAAAACACACAAAGACTCTATCTATAAATTAAAAAGACAACTATAAGACCTTTATACACTGTCAAACTTGAATCAAATAAATTTAATTCATTGTCAAACTTGAAACACATAAATTTTGGACAAAATTACATAAATGGTGTGTGTGGTTTTCTAAATTTATATATTTCGTCTTAATTTGTTTCGTTACATGGTTGGTGCTTGTAATTTCTACTGTAATTTCTATTTCTTAAGGTGTTGGTCCATGTTCCATATAAAAAGACTTTAATCTTTTCTTTTATTCAATATCAATTTATATTAATTTTTATAACTTTATTAAATAAGAAATGCCTCATCAATCATCTCACCCTCCCTTACGACACCAATACGAATAAGTTTGTGTCTCCGCATCTTAGAGTGAGATTTCACATGAAAGGGAGAAGAACCTGAATTGCAAAATTAGAAACAAAACAGATTTTATGTGTCCAATATCCGTCAAAGCCCCATAAAGTCTCTAATTTATCACGAGGAAGAAGGAAGGGCAATATCATTGGGTGGGTATGAGAGAATAGGGAGGGGGGGGGGGGGGGGGGGGGGAATTGAGGTTAATCCACCGACAATGAAGGTAACGTTAAAAATGATTATGGAAATGTTGATGAAAACGAATGTAAGCGGGTGAGACAATAATGTTTTATTAGGGGTGGGGTTATTTATTTTTTTGTTTTTAATTAAAATAAACATATAGAAAAGGTATAAAGTATGTTTATATGGATCAACACCAACTAAAAAAAAAAAAAATAATAAAAAAATCACAAGGATCATCTATATAACCAAAAGAGGTTAGGGACAAGAACATGCGAATCTGAAAAACTAAAGGGACCATTTATGTAAATTCGTCTAAAGTTTGTCCTCACATTGGGAAATAATCGTTCTGCCTCTGTACAAATATTTACAAGGAATAAACAGTTTCTGACACGTGTAATCCACTCGCGTCCAACTGAGAGTGGGGAATGTGGAATTACCGCTCCGTCCCTGTCAAACATTTTCTAACTTTCACAACCTCGTCTTCTAGTCTCGCCATAATGTACTTGTGCTATAGACGGTCCCAGTTCAACACTATTTAAATCAAATCCACTCTAAATTTACTCCAAATTTAATCCAAATTCACTTCAAATTCAAGTGGATGTTGTTTCTTGATTCAAACCTTATATATACAACTCTATATGATCATCATATCGCTTCATTAATTACACTTGGGTCGCGAGAAAATCAAGAGTCCGATCCCCGGAGCTGCTGTCTTGTTATGATCCATGGCGAAAGGCCGGAGACTTACAGTCAGCCAGAGCGAAAGGTTCCTGGGAAGCTACGGATATGGCGGAAACACCCACAACACGGAGGAAGACGGTGTAGAACTCGGCGAAGATGACGTGTGGTACTCTATGGTTGATGAAATGGTTAACAGTGGAAACAACGGAGGCGATCATCGTTCCATCAATAGTGATTGGTACTCACGCGCCGCTAAGGGTGGTTCCACGAAGAGCCTCCGTCGTTCCTGTGTTCTGACTCCTGCTTCCGCCGGTGGGCTTTCCGTGGCGTTTGATGATCAGCCGGTGAAGCATATGGTGGCGTCGCCGCGGATTATTCACCAGTTCCGGAACGACGGGGACAGGTTGGCGTCTCCACGTCATGTTGCCACATCGGCACCAGTGAACGTGCCTGACTGGTCAAAGATTTACCGAGTTGACTCGGTTGAATCGATGCATGACTCGGATGATGGGACAGATGAACATGACTCGGAAATGGTCCCACCCCATGAGTATTTAGCTCGGAGCCATAGAACGGCTGCCAAGTCGGTTTTTGAGGGTGTAGGTCGGACCCTTAAAGGCCGGGACATGAGCCGGGTTCGAGATGCTGTTTGGAGCCAAACCGGATTCGATGGTTAGCCCAAATATATATAAAAAGGGAAATTTTCTTTATTTTTGTCATTGCTTAGACCGGAAAATGAATATATTTGGATTTTTAACCATACTCCAAAGAAGAACTAAACTTTTATTACGTGATATATAAACTGATAAAATTTTTATAACTTTTATTATTATTATTATTATTATTTTTAAATAAACTTGGACATTCATAAGTTTTTTGTCAGAGCTTTTTGAATTGTTATGGTAGATCTTATAGATTTACAATCAACGGTCTATATTATAAGAAATCTAGTTAATAATATAAATACAAATTGGTGACTCTCATAAATAAATTAAGGCCACAAATATAAATTGATGAAAAAACTATTTTATTATGGAGCTTATAAAATTTGACGAGGTGGTGCTTATATATAATGAAAAAGTATCATAACAAATAAGTCCTCTATTGTGGTTGCTTAATCTTATGGTGAAATGCCGAAATCAATTAAAAAAAATAACAAACTGAGTATTCGATTTGTCTTTAAAGAAGTTATTTTTTAAACATAAATACTATCTTAGACATTTTCAATTCACATAAGTTTAAGCATAAGACAAATTCAAAAGTCATTGTCAATAATTAGGTAACTCCATATATATATATAGCTATATAGATATATCTATATATAGATATATATATATCTATATATCTAATATTATTATATAAATTTAATATATCTATATATATATCTCTACTAAATGAATGTTTTTTTACAAATAAAATTCCACAAAATTGAATGATTTATCAGGAAATAAAATCATTCTATTAATTTGCTACTAAAAGTCCATAAATGTTTTAAAGAATATTTGATTTCTTTTATAAATGTTCCAAAAGATTACATTATGTTATGTAAAAATATTATTTTATAAAATATTTAATGTTTAATTATTGATATTAAATTTTTAATTTTAATAAACTCGTGTAGTATACGAGTCTCACACCTAGTACTATAATAAATGAAAGTTTTTTTTGTCACTTGTCTCACTCTCATTCAATTTGTCAAATGTCATTGTGGTTATTTTGAATTAAATTTGTTTCACATGTTATTTTATGAGTTTTTCTATTTTATTAAATCCACATGATATTTTAATGTAATAATTGTAATAAATGTAGTAATAAATGAATATTAATTTCATTAATAAACTTACCTTTTAATTTCAAATTCCCAAAATTAAAGCTTATTAGTACTTTTTTGTTCATTTATTTAAATTGTTTGTTTAAATTTAATAGACAAAAAACATTTCCATTATAATAATTCATTATTTTCTTAAAAATTCAAAGTTCTCAAATATTTTGATTTTTATATTTAATTTTTTTAATTAACTCATGTAATACATGGGTCTCACAACTAGTATATATGACAACCAATCAATGAATGAAGAACAATCATATCCATAATCACACTCTTGCGAAAGGTATTTGGAGCAAAAGTTGTACTATTTCGGTACCACCAAATAACCTTTAACATCACATAAGAAATTACCTCCATAGAATTTTTTTCTTCCAACCCAGACCTTGATAAACTTTACCATATCTGGGAAGCTTTCAAACAACGAAAAATGTAAATTAAGCCACTTAAGAATCAATCTCAAACTTATCTACAATCACACACTAAAACCATACGATTTGAATTCTCTTGAACTTGACCACACACCAGACATAACACTCTGAATGAACAACGATGTTCCTACCGGCTACTAACAAGATTATCTCTAATCAGAAGCCCATTAAAAGTTAAACTCCAAACAAAAATATTAACTTTCATTGGCACGTACTTAACCCATCTAGTAGCAACATTATCGGACCCTAGCCATATCCCATTAATATGAAGTCTAGCACTAACAATAAAGAATCTTAAGTGGTATTAGACGTTAAATCTTTATTCTGACATTATCCGTTTAATTCTTGTATGGTATTGTATCAATTTGTTACTTAAACATGTTAAATCTTTTAACCAAATATGTTTATTTTGCGTCAAGTTCATGTCACATTAGCAAGTTTTGAGTTTAGAACTTGTAAATGTGTCATGTCATACCACGTGTTGAAACACTTACGGGTTGAAAGAGCTTGACCCTAGCCTTACCTATTTAATTTTCATGTCCTATTGTGTCAACCAATTACTTAAATAAGTTAAAATCTCTTAACCAAATCTATTTATTTCAAATTGGGTTCGTGTCTTGTCAGTTTTTGCCAGCTTTATGTATTAGTAATACTTAAAAAACAATTATGTTATTTTTGTGAACATTGAAAGCATTATTTTTTTTTTTCTGATTTTTGTTAAATTAATGTTTCACAACCGGATAACCCAAAAAAACATGTTGCATAGTCTACGTAGAACTAAAAATATTACTAATGATCTTAATTTCTAAAAAACTATACTTGTTATTCCATATGAACTTTATAATATAATTCAATAACTAGAAAATGTCCATCCCCGCTTCGTCGGGGAAGCATACAAGATTTTGCTTACAAAATTACAAGGACTGTTTTTAAAAAAGAAAAACCTTATAGGGACCATTTTCATAATTCATTTTCTACATAAGGATAAAAGCTCACTTTTTAAATTTGTTATTAGGATGGGGCCAAAAATGTAATATTTCTAAAATGTTGTGACCAAAATATAAACCACATAAAATCTCAGATTCCTTCAATCGGATGTTTATCCTCATGAAATAGAATATATGTATATACAAGCTCACTACCACTACTCGAACTACATGAGACAGAACCAGATTTGCCTTTGTTAATAGATTATGCAACCCATTTTTGGTTAATTAGCCGGTTGTGAAACATTTGTTTAACCAAAGTTAGAAAGTATATAACAGACAAAAAGAACATAATATGATATTTTTCAATATCATAAATTTTCCGGGGTTTTCCCAATAAACTAATAATAGAAATTTCAAAAATCCTTTTAAGTAGAACAAATAGTAATTTTATATTAGTTAGTAAGGGAATAAGGGATCATTGTTGAAAAAAAAATCCATACTTAAGAAATAGATTAATGAGAATGAAAGTTGGATTTAACCTTTTGAATTTTGATTAACTGATAAGTACCATTCTTGTAATTTACAATAAATTAGGAATAAAATAAGAAATGATAAGAAAAAAAAGGTGGTGAGTAAATAGTTGCGAACAAACTTATTGGATGGAGGATTGGAGAGAGATGGTCTTAATGGGGAACCTTTCTGAAGAAAGTGACACCTTCGGTGTTTTGTTCCCTTTACGTTTCCGGTTTTCGCCTTGTTCCCGTTCCCGAGTTCTACTTAAGGAGAGAAATGGGAGGATACGGAGGGAAAGTGAGAGGTGTCGAAGGAAAATCGTGTTCCCGAGTTTCATTAATGGAAGGAAAGTGAGGGGAGGGGAAGAAGAATTTGGAGCCATATTTTCCTTCCAAATTTTCTCCCAAATTGGACGGATTTGGGAAGAAAAGTGAGGGGAAGGAAAATTTTAAGTTTTATTTCTTTTCCTCCTAACTCGGGAACACAAACTTAAAATTTTCCTTTCATTTCCTTTCATTTCTTCGAACTCGGGAACACGGAATAATGAATATTTTCCTTCACCTCCCTTTCTTTCTATCAAATTTTCTTTCCCTTTCCTTTAATGAATTTGCAAAAAAACTCGGGAACAAGCCGTTAAAATACATGCAATGTTTTCCTATGTGTCAAGAATGACATCGGATAATTAGTCAAATAGGTTCGTCTCTAATTTGTAAGTTTTAGACAAATATGTGTTAATAAGGACGGATGGTATAGACACGACATAATCTCTAACTAGAAAGAATGCCCTCGCGTTGCTACGGGTCAAGAAAGATGTTTTTTTTCTTTCTGATTTGATTCAAAATCCAAAGAATTTGTTTTTTTTCTTGGATGATCATGTATTTATCAGTTCATATTTGTTTATGGGTGGCTTTTTATAACATACATATTTTCATTATATTGTGAAACTTTCTACATGCAAAACACCTGATTTTTCATTGTTAATCTAAGAACATATGGTGATGTAAACAGAAATAAACATAATTTCTAAGAACACCTGATTTAGTGGTATTGTTTTGATATTAGACTATACATATTATGTACAACAACAGGTTGTGACCATGCATACATATAGATGTGTATAAGATAAGTAGTTGAAGTATGTGGGTATAAGGGTGGTGTGTTTGTTGTTGGTGATGGATCTTACGTTTTGGTGCTTGCTTCATTGCGAAGTCACCTGCGTATGAATGAGATGGTATTAGTGGTAAATGCAAATTTACTTGCCATTTCTTAGCCTTTTAATGTCCGCATTTGGCTTTGAAACAAAGGAAAACAATCAAGCTTAGAAGGTTGAATGTTCTTTTTACATACCTGGAATGCATTAACGGATGTATGCTTCATCTAAATGCAAGGTCACCCTCTTTAATTTATCATCTCGAGGTTGACCATGTTTCACGAATCACGATTCCTACAAAATGACATCATCAATCTATACATGCTTGAAAGTTCCTTTACTCCAACAGGTGGTATCAGTATAAAGTTTGTTTAACTATATCAACAAGTTTTTATTAAGTAATTAGGTAAGTATGGATTTCAACAAGTTTTTTCTCCAATACATGTCTTATAAGCAGAATGCACAACAATGGTTTTGAACTTTCTTCTTTCAAAGCCCTCATTCTCATTAGCATCAACAGAGAGAGATATGGACATGGGTGGTCTGGAGACTATAATGTTACACACCCACCACTCCAGTTCACCTATCACATGAGAAATAAGAAGGGACCACGAGATCATGGGAACCAACCAGCCATTGGGGAGGATTCCACTAATGATGTCAGCCAATAGAATAGTAGAAGGGTAATTTGGGAATTAGTGTTTTATGCTCATTTACATATATATAACAGGTTAGTAGGTGGTAGAGGCAGGAGAAACTAGAACTGTAATTTGGGAGATTGTAGCATCTCGAACAGCTACCTGTTTCTTAATCAATCATTCAGTCTTGTGGCTATTCACTCTTGTCGTGTGCACTTGTTGTTGATCTTATAGTCCACAACAAATTGGTATCAGAGCGAGCAATAATCTGGGATCATGGCTGGTGGAAAAGAAGTGGGAGGAACCCAACTCAAGAGGGTTGAATCCTTGGAGGCAGAGTTAGGGCATTTGAACGACATAATGGAGAATCAAGGTCACCAGATGCAGCAACAGGCCGACTCCATAGCTTCAATGCAGATGAAGATGGACCAGAAGTTTGAAGAAGTATTGAGGGCTCTCAGTCGAGGAAAGAAGACAGCTGAGGAAGAAGTTTTCGACGAACCTGTGTTTTCCACGATGGATACTCCGAAAGATAACAGTGGAGGCCCAAAACCAGGAATGAGCAGTGGTTCCGATTCCGGTGGGAGCAGCGACGGTGGGGGTCGTCCACAGGGAGGCGAATACGGGGGAGGAACAAATTGGAGGTTTAGAAAGCTGGATATGCCCCTGTTTGATGGCGAGAATCCAGATGAATGGATACCGAGGGCTGAACGTTACTTTAATTTTTACAAACTCTCAGAGAATGATAAACTGGAGGCGGCGGTGGTAGCCCTCGAGGGTGACGCTCTGTTGTGGTTCCAATGGGAGCACTCCCGTCGACCGGTGACACGATCGAAGGAGATGAAATCGCTACTATTACGACAGTTTCGCCCTACTAACGCAGGTACATTACACCAGCAATGGCTCGCCCTAACTCAGACCGGGTCGGTTTTAGAGTACCAACGATCATTTATTGAATTACTTGCCCCGATAAGCAATATACCCGAAGATATCACTTTGGGCCAATTCCTCAATGGGCTAAAGGATGAAATTAGGTCTGAGGTCCAATTATTGAGCCCCGTGTCCGTTGAACACGCCATGACACTAGCTATCAAGGTCGAACAAAAGCTACAATCCTATCTCCAACGAAAACCACAACCTTCCACTGCCAATCAACGAACGAACTCCACCGGAAGCATATCAGGAACACCTATGATTACACCCATCAAAACTACTTACTTCACTCCTCGTGCGCCTCAAATTCAAAACCCTAATTACACCAGAAGCAACAAGATGCCCACGAAACCTGAAGGAGAGATCATGTGACAACCCAGAAACTCCTACCTCGCACACTTAGTCAATTCAATCAAAGTTAAATGTGTTTTGCTGACTCCTTACACTGTTTGAGGGTCCGTTCAAGTGTTTTAAGCTTGAGTACAACCAAGGTTGAGATTAGGGATGAACTGTAAAGTCGTGAGGTAGCAAAATCGGGCCATACACCCTCTTGGGAGGAGTGTACGGCCGTACACATGGGTGTGCGGCCGCACACCCACCTCTATATATAGGAGGAGACCCCCTTCATTCACTCTTTTTCCCTTTTGGCTGCACACTACTTTCTCTCTCTAGAATCTTCACATAAGGACCCTCCAAAGGCCTCAAAAACGAGAAGTAATCCATCATTCAACTTGTTATACTGGTAAGACACCTTGATCTATGCCTAAAACTCTTCATGTTCTTCGTGTTCTTCATCACTTGAAGGTGTACGGCCGTACACCTTCATAAGGTGGCCGTACACACCTCAAAGACCCTCCAAAGTGAGAGTTTGATCCCCTATCTTCTAGTTGGACTTGGTTTGAACCTTAAAACACTGGAAAATCGACTTTTGGAGCATAAATGAAGAGTGTACGACCGCACACACCCTCTGTACGGCCGCACACTCCTGTGTGCAACCGCACACACATCCTGGCCGCACACACACTCTTATGGCCATACACCTCCCCCGTTCGATCATTTATGGCTCCGACACTTAGTTCAAGCAATTCCAAGTCTTTAGGGTGGTTTCCCGCCATGTTTTGTCATGGAATACCTTAAATCTAACATATATATGTGTACTATATGTTAATAGGATCCGCTTGCGTACGAAACATCAGTTGACACTCAGCACTCGTAACCGATCGTACACCCGAATCCTACGTTAAACTGTGAGTCATACCCCTACGCTTTTTCAGAGTTTTTCATGTTTTCAGGGGGGAATACAAGCAAAAGTACAAGGAAACTTGTGATCAAAGTATATTATTTTTGTTTAAAATAATTATATGTTCTGTATGCTTTTAAACACAGAAAACAGTTTTACCAAACAATTAAGAAATCAACTCGTAGAAACAATTTTCAAAACTAAAGCAAGGAACTTGTGAATCTTATCATAAAATGTGAAATTTTATAAAGGATTTATACAAAACATAAACAGGATTTTCGGTATTATTACATGCAAATTGTTAGTCTAAAGTTGGAGACACGTCCTTGGTAACACTCCCACCGAATTCGAGAGTGTAGGACTAACACTTGTAACCAGAATCTCTTGTAGGGAGAGCGTGACTGCTGTGTATAGATCTATATGGGATTGACTATCCCGCACCTCGCTGCTAGCTACAGTTGGACCGTCAGGTCTACGGGTGACAAAGTCATAAAAGATACTGGCCCCGTTACGTGCCATATCAAGTCTAAGTACGGTTATGACACTCACAACCTAGATAACAAAATTTACTTTTGTAATAATGAAACAAGTGAACTAACCTCAAAGTAATAACCGATTTGATTACTAGAGGGTATTAATATTACCCTTAGGATTTAGTTCCCACTTATTTATTAGTTTTATATATGTAATAAGGCTAATACATCTCACAGAGAGCAAACAGGATTTTCAAGGAAACTACATCTAAACGATACAAGTATGGTAGATACTTGTACACCTCAGACAAGAACAAATAACCAACTATCAACTTTTAAGGAAAATATAGGATTTTCCTGGGATAACTCAACCTTACATAAACAGGCTGTTAATCAAATAACGAAGGGATAATCAAACATCTTTCATAAGAAAATACAGGATTTTCTTGGGAAACACTTTTCAAATGATCAAAGAAACATTTCTTTCACCAGAACTAAACGCTTATGAACTCACCAGCTTTATGCTGATATTTTAAACTGCTTGTATTCTCAGGGGTATTTGTAGACAGGTACTTCCAGGAGTTCGGAGAAGTTGGAGTGTCAGAGTCACGTCGTTACTATTTTACTTTTGCTATGAACAAAACTATGTATTAAACAATGTAAACCTTTTTCACATATGTATTCAATGTCTGGTTGTGTTTACTATGCTTGCTATGATACAATTGTTGTGATACTACGCATGACGTCCTCCGCCCCAGAACGTTTCCGCCGTTCCGGTTTTGGGGTGTGACAGATCAGAAGGTTATCAGATAAAGAATGGCAACAGAAAAGAGAGAAGGGATTGTGTTTCAGATGTGACGAAAAGTGGGCATGTGGGGCACCGTTGTAAGCGCAAGGAGCTCAGCGTGCTCCTAACCCAAGAAGGAGAGGAGAGCGACGGGGAACAGGACGAGCCCCTTAGTGAGCCATCACTGAAGACCATCGAAACCACCACTTTATCGGGAATATGCTTGAGCTCGATCATGGGCACTTCCAACCCAAAAACGCTGAAATTGAAGGGAGAACTAAAGGGGCGCGAGGTGGTGGTGATGATCGACCCCGGAGCCACTCACAATTTTGTATCCCTCAAAATCGTTTAAGAATTACAACTTCCGGTCACTTCCACTCCGGGTTTTAGGGTGTCTTTGGGTACAGGAGAATCAGCGAGGGGAACCGGAAAATGTCAAGGGGTATGTTTACAATTGCAAGATGTCAATATCATAGAAGAGTTCCTACCATTAACCCTCGGAAGTGCTGATATCATATTAGGAATTCAATGGCTCGAGAAATTAGGGACAGTGACCACCGATTGGAAAACACAAGTGATGAAGTTTCAATTGAATGGTCACATTGTAACACTAAGGGGGGATCCGACCCTAGAACGAGCTCAAGTCTCGCTGAAAACCATGATCCGTACGTTGCGCTCCACGGGTGGGGGATATTTGATCCAACTTAATCATGTGGGGCAACTTGCTCAGTCGGTACTCCAGGGTGTTCGATTGGAAGCTTGGGCTACCTCCTAAAAGGGATCAACAACACATCATCAGGCTCAAGGAAGGCACGAATCCTGTCTCTGTCAGACCGTATCGTTATTCCCATTCCCAGAAGGCGGAAATTGAAAGGTTGTTGAGCGAGATGTTACAAGACGGTATCGTCCAAATTTCACGAAGCCCATTTTCCAGTCCCGTGCCTTTGGTTAAAAAGAAAGATGGGTCTTGGAGGTTTTGCGTGGACTACCGCAACCTCAACAAGATCACCGTTAAGGATAAATTCCCGGTTCCAGTAATCGACGAGCTACTGGATGAGCTTCACGGATCCACAGTCTTCTCCAAGTTGGATCTCAAGTCCGAGTATCACCAAATACGTATGCGGGAAGAAGACATTCCCAAGACGGCTTTTCGGACCCACGAAGGCCACTACAAATTTTTAGTTATGCCCTTCGAGCTTACTAACGCTCCCACCACCTTCCAATTATTAATGAACGAGGTATTCCGACCATATCTTAGGAAGTTCGTGCTGGTGTTTTTTGATGATATCCTTGTGTACAGCCCAAACGAAACCCAGCACCTCCAACACTTGGAATTGGTTCTTGAAGTCCTATACACACATCAGTTGTATGCAAACCCAGTAAAATGTGAACTAGGTAAAACTCGGGTGGTGTATTTGGGGCACGTAATATCAGCCGAAGGAGTGGTTGTGGATGAGGAGAAGGTGCAAGCCATTGATCAGTGGCCCACCCCAACCACATTGAAGGAACTCAGGGGGTTCCTTGGGTTATCCGGGTACTACAGAAAATTCGTGGCGGGATACGCCAAGCTCGCTTCCCCCCTCGCTGATCAGCTTAAGAAAGACTGTTTTGGTTGGTCAGAAGAAGCGGAGGAGCCCTTCCAAACCTTAAAGTCAGCTCTTAAACAAGCACCGATTCTTGCCATGCCGAATTTCCAACGGCCCTTTGGTAGTGGAAGCTGACGCATCAGGGACAGGCTTGGGAGCCGTGCTTACACAAGATGGGCACCCCATTGCATTCTATAGACAGGTGTTGGGAACGCGAAACCGATCAAAACCCATTTATGAGAAAGAGCTAATGGCCATTGTTTTGGCAGTGAAGAAGTGGAGGCACTATTTGCTGGGAACTCACTTCATCATTAGATACGATCAAAAGAGCCTCAAGTTCCTTATGGACCAAAGGGAAGTCGGACCGGAATACCAGAAGTGGTTGTACAAGATTTTGGGCTATGACTTTGAAATACAATATAAACCTGATATTGCTAATTGTGTGGCTGATGCTCTTTCCAGGGAGTTTTCGTTTCGACACGAAGACACAGAACTACAAGCGATGGCCTCATCCTGGTCGATATCCTTAGGCGATCTGGAAAAAGAGATCGCAGCTGATACCTTCCTGCAACAGATTAAGGAAGATATCACTCAACTAGGAAAAAAAACACGTGGGATTCACAGTGGAAGGAGGCAAGGTGAGGTATAAGGGAAGATTGGTGATACCGAAATCTTCGTCGCTCATTCCCAGGTTGCTCGTAGAATTTCGTGATTCAACTATTGGGGGACATGCGGGAGAGTTCAAAACTTATCTAAGGATAGCTGAGGAATGGTATTGGGTGGGAATGAGAAAATCAATCCAAAAATATGTGCAAGGATGTGACGTGTGTCAACGACAGAAAACCCTTACCACCCATCCAGCAGGCCTTCTCCAACCCTTGCCCATCCCGACCTTAATCTAGGATGATGTATCCATGGACTTCATTGAAGGGCTGTCACTATCACAGGGGACAGATACGATACTCGTGGTGGTGGATCGACTCTCAAAGTATGCGCATTTCATGACTCTCAAGCACCCTTTCACGGCCTTGACGGTAGCAACCGTGTTCATTAGGGAAGCGGTCCGGCTCCACGGGTTCCCATTATCAGTGATTTCTGACAGGAACAAGATTTTTATGAGCACTTTCTGGAGGGAGTTGTTCCGTGTGAAAGGAACCAATCTTCTTCGGAGCACCGCGTACCACCCCCAAACGGATGGTCAATCGGAGATCGTCAACAAGTCCCTGGAACTATATCTCCGTTGTTTTGTTCAAGGAAAACCAAGAGAGTGGGCACGGTGGCTCCCA